GCGACTAAATTTTGCCATTCCATCATAAATCACTTAAATACCACACGAACCAACTAGCAACTGAAACCACTACAGTAAAATCCAATTTCCATGTAAAAAAGTTTGTCATAGAAACCAACATCGCCCCCGAAACCATCACAGAACACACGATCGTGCCAAAAACCAGCACACAACACATATCGCCACATTTGGCGACCTGAGGGTGCATATAAGTACTCTCCAACATTTTTATCTCTAGCTCGCGTGTGTATCGGAAATTCTAAAGCTTTGCTCATTTTAAAATTGTTTTGCGATATTGCTTGCGAACTGGATTTTATGGTTTAAGTGTGAAGAAAAATAAATAAAGGCAACTCGCAAAACGTTAAAAAAAACTCCCTTCTGGGCATAAAGTAAAAGCTGAAAGTCTTCAAATTTTTTTTCGTTTTGTTGTCGAAAAGTGAAAGAATAAATATCTGTCTAGAAAACGTGGCATCTAAACTCTTGTTAAATCCAGTTTAAACTGGTTATTTTGTCATTTGCATATCAAAAGGTCCGAGTCGGTTTCATTTACTGAAAAGATTATAAAAAACATAACAACATTATAACATGGAACAACATTGTAAGATTAAATTTTGTTACAAATTAGATAAATCTACTACCGAAATGTTAGAGATGCTCTGAACAGTATATGATGATGCATTTGTTATCAAGAGTGGTACAACTGCTTTAATTGTGGATTGAAAAGCATTCAAGATGAAGCAAAGCTAGGATGCCTTCAACTTTGAAGATAAGAAAAATGTGGAGAAAATTCATTTTTTTGGTAATAACTGATAGATGTGTAATAATTCAGTCACTTTCAGACATGCTTGGGATAAGCAAAGAAAGCTGTAGGTTAATTTTACTTAATTGAATATTTAGGTAATTACTTGATTAATTGAATATCTGAAAATGAGGAAAGTTTGTACTTGATTTGTGGCTTGGATTTTGATAGAACACCAAAAAGAAGATGAAAAAGGCATGCTGTGACTATTTGCTAACAACTGCAAGACAGGATAACAATTTCTTAAAAAATAATCATAGCAAAAGATGAGACTTAGTGTCTATTATACTATTGAAAAATGAAAAGACAAAATGCACAGTGGAAAGGACCATCTTCTCTGTTTAAAAAAAAAAAAAAAAAAAAAAAAAAAAAAGTGCCAATCTCAAAATCTAAGCGACTAAGTGATGCTGATTGCGTTTTTTGATTACAGAGGTTTTATTAGCCCTGAAAATTGATCAGTTAGTATTTTTACTAGGAGTTTTCAATTAAGAAACATGATAAAATGCATTAGGAACTTTTTGGTTCAGTGCTATGATTTATTTTACACAATGATGCTAGGATCTGTACAACATTGTCTGTACCATAGTATCTTGTTAAGCATTCAGTTATAGTGATAAATCATCCATATTCTCCTGGTTTATCATCAGCAGATTTTTGCTTTTTCTGAAGCTCAAGATTGCCAGACTCTTCTGGCGATTATTTTGAAAGAGAAAATTAGTAACTTTTTCTTATTTATAAGAAACTGTCTGGTTACTTTTTGGGCACATCTTGTGTACTCCTTAACTTGTTTAGGACTGTGATCACACTTCTCCCTTCATGACTTATGGTATCATATATGTGACCTAACTTTACGAGTCTTGAGGCGGTTTGTCACACTAGTGTGTTTTCAGATTGGAAAGTGTTATTTAAGTTTGAAAACGACACTAGATGGTGGTTGAAGTCTGTTATATTTTTTAATAATGTTCTACGTACCACTGACCTTCAATATGCACTTTCGGTTCTCTTATTTTTTTTATTCATATTTTTCCTGGATCTGGGGAACTTACAACTTGTAAGCAACTGCATGTGTTCGATTCTTTCAGGAGGATATACACTAGGATTGCTTCAGGAGGAAGCCCAAAGGGGTTAATTGACATTGCCTAGGAACTGGACCATGGATGTGATCAGGGCAGTGCAATGGACGTACCCTTCTATGCATTTTGATCAGTGAAATGTGACTGGGCCAGAGATATGCGGATGAGGTTTCAAAATATTTTGTAAGATTTTACAAAGGTATATATTGATTGCGCCTTTTATGCATGGATGCTGATGCTCATCTACAGTGTGTGAACCTCGTTGACAAATTTCTTAAAAGTGGAGTCATTTAAGCAAATACCATAGTCAGCAAAATTTCCTGATCTTATTCTAATAGAGAACGTACGGAATTAGCATGGAAAAGCAGTTACAGGAAAACATCTTCCACCTAGAGATATAAATACCCTAAAGATCACGTTGCTGGAAAAGAGGAATTTTATTCTCCAATCTGTTTTTTTAACATTATTGCCAGTATGAAAATACATTGTGATATGTGTGCACAAATCAGAAAAGATCATATTCCATATTAAATTCATAAGCTTTTCTGGTAAAAGTATATTTTAGGGTACCCCTTGGCGATTTTTGGCACTACATGGATACCAAATTTGTGCAAGTCTTTGACTTGTTATTTTGGCTTGCGTAGCGGTGATTTTTGTGCCCAAAATCGCCACTACATAAAGCCAAAGTAACAAGACAAAGAATTGCACAAACTCGGTATCCATATACACATCGACCTATTTTCACTTAAAAAAAAAATCCCAGAATTGCACAAAAATGGCGTTGTGAACTCCCTTGACTTTATCCATGTACACATTGACCTATTTTCACTTTTAAAACATCAGAAAATTGCACAAACTAATCTTTGCGCACTCCCTTGAGTTTGTCTATGTACACATCGATATATTTTCACTTAAAAAGTCAAAAGAGCACTCAATTCTATAGTAGAGGCGAGCACAAAATACTTAATCTCAATAAACTAGATTTTAAACCAAACAATAAAATAACATAAAAAAGGATTATGCATTAACATTATACATTTAAGCATTACACAAAGCAAATATCCACTTACCTCTGTGGCACACAAAATTCCTTAACAGCATCCAAAAACTTCCTAAAATTATCTGAACTAGAATCCGTATATCGCCGTCGCCACATAAATTCACAAAAATAAGAGTAAAAAATATCCTACATATTCCGGACTGTCCCAAAAATGGCTACTAAGTAAACCTTCATTTACACACCAGTCAATTAATGCATTTTCTCCTTTTTGTTCCAAATCGTACAGAAACTTCAAATTAATCTTACTACATTCAGCCATTCTACCATCTAAACAATGAAACAAGCAATGTATTTCCTAACCACACACACACACCACAAAAGCTCTAACAAAATATCCCATGACTCAAAATTTTCCGGACTAATGCAAATGATTATGTCATAATAGGGTTTCCATAAAATACAGCTACTCAGGTTACCATAAATGAAACAACTTCTTGGCAATAAACGGAACAACAACTTCGCGATAATACAAGGGGTACCCTAAAGTCAGCTCTAACCGCTTTTTTTTTTCTGAGTTATTCCCAACCCTGAATTCTGCTTGTTTCGTCATTACCATTTTTATTGTTTTATGCTAGACTTTAATATCATATGCAGTATTCTTAAATTTTTTCCTTTTTATTTATGTGTTATGATGTGATTCATCATTCTGCACAAATTTATAAAATTATACAGTGGCCTAGCTAGGGTGGAGCAAGGGGGGACATCCGTCCCTGGGCGCAGCATCCAGGGGTTGCTAAATTGATTATACACATTTCATAATAAAATGTTTTCCATTCTTGGAACACAGAAAGGGGCGCAAAATCTTTAGGTGTCCCCCGGGTGCTGAAAACCTTAGCTACGCCTCTGAAATTATAATTTACAGTTTTTGAGAAATCTCTGATTTCATGCATGTAAAGTTAATTTTGGACATGAGCATATTATTTCATCAACTGTTCATGTTGACTGCCATTGAAGTATGAAAGTTGGCAGAGATCCTGTCAAAGTTCCATCAGTTGCTCCTGCGTAATCTGAAGAAACTGGCACAGCTTTATTTATTAAAGAATCATTATTTGACCTGTTTGTTTTTGCATTTCATGAATGGGATTTGTTGACTTTTACTATTTTCTATGCCCTCCGATTTTACTGGAAGCTCTGTTTAAAATGCTGCGAGTTCAAACTTCATGCATATAACTGTTGCTGTCTATTACTTTGAGTCATATCCTGCTATTCTTTTCTTCATTTAACAGATGCTGATTTTCTCAAGCAGCTGTAAATGAGTCGAAGTGCAGTCACATAATCATTATTTTCAAAAAGCAAGAGAAATTATAGCAATAACAGTTAATTTATATTCTTGTTTATAAAAGCAAAAGTTAGCTTATTGAGAATCATAGGGATTACCTCAAACAAAAGCACAGATGTTATTGTGTTGTTATGTCATATTTCTGTTATAATTGGCTTTAAATTGCATTGTTCGGTGACAATTTCATGGTCAGTGAAATAATACATTAAGTACCCTATGAATTTCCAGGCTGAATTTTCTTTTGATTCAAGAACTATTAACACTAGGCTTAAAGTTAGTATGCTAGTAACCTAAATTTCCTTTCTCTCCTTATGTTTGACTTTATTGAAAATAAATTATATTTTTTGGAAAGATTTTGAACATTTTACCTCATTCATGTATTCATGAAGGTTGGTATAATATAGAACTGGCTGATCAGCAGATCATTATACTGAGCAAAAAAATTACACCAAGCAGATGGAACATTTAGTTAGAACTTTTCTTTGAGTTTTTATAACAGGAAGGGTCATTTATTGAGGCATGCACTGATGACAGTCAGTTATATTATAGTTAAATTATTAAAGTATTTAAGCTATAAATTATGGGATTATAGAAAATGTTTATTATAGAAAACTCTGAAAATCTAAGTGAATTTATGTTCTTAGGACATTTTTTTCAAATTCATTGCTTTCTAGTTTTAGTAGATTTTTAGAAATTTTCTTTGACTAATAAATGTTTGAATTTTAATGTTATATTAAGTGTTGATTTTATATTGCCGTAAAATGTATTTACTATTTTCTTCATTATTAGGAAAACTGAATTGGCCTTTAGTTGAAGACTTTTCAAAATGGCGTCATGATATTGTTGGTTGTATATTGTAAAGTATGTTTCAAAATGTTGTATACTTTTTCTAAATAATGAGCCTATAATAATACTGTATTTTATAGGAAGAAGTAAAACAGTCTAGTTAATGCACTTGTGAGTTTTAGTTCTTTAAATGTAAACTAAAATTATTCAGAACTAAGAAAGACTGCAGGACTTATTTGTGATAAATTTCTCTAATACTGAATTTAATTAATTATTTATATTTTGTAATTTATAAATTATATTATTGTTAATAATATGTGGACATTTTTAGCATAAAATTTCTCAGAATAAATTTTAATTACATTATTGATATAAGTAATATGGTACTATTCCGTTTTGAGGACCGTAAAAAAATTGCATAAAAAATGTATGCGCAAAAGTGCCAAATCTAGCAAACGTGCCCATTTAACATTTAACATGATATCCTATGGATTTAACAATTTGGGAATCGCCCATGACGAAAAGTCTGCAATAGAATGTTGGGTAGAGTGCAGAATCACCCACCGCTTGACGCGTTTTTATGAATGGCACATACTCGGTGTCCATGTACACATCGACATATTTTCACTTAAAAAAAAATCCCAGAATTGCACTAAAATGGCACTGTGCACATCCTTGACTTTATCTATGTATACATCGACCTATTTTCACTTAAAAAGTAAAAGAAAATTGCCAAAAATCCAATTGTTTTTACCTTTATAAAAAGCGGCAAACAAATAAGTGAGCGATTCTGCACTTTACCGAGAATTTTTTCAAAGAAAAAGCATCATTCATTATAGATAATTATGTTTGAACAACCAACAAGATGAAACTATGCTTTAGCGATAACTCGGTAGTGAAATAGCGATGCAGGCATCCATTCAGTTATGTTTAGCAATTTTTACATAAATAATGACCTGAAATAGTTATTTACTCTTATGCTTCCAGTCAGTCATGTTTAGCCTTTTTTATATAAATTATAATAATAAAAATGTATTATATGAAATTAACCTTTCATCTAAATTAAAACATCAATCTTAGATAATTATTTACTATTACACTTCCCTTCTTAGGGTTGCCGCAATTATTTTTGGCAGCACTGGCATCAACAATAGTTTGGCGATTTTTTACGGCCCTTAAAACTGAATAGTACCAGTAATATTAGTGCTTCTTTAGTGATGTGGTCTCAAAAAATGGATCGAAATCCAGCTGTGAATTATGTAAAATTTTATTTTCTTATTTAATTATTGTTTTTATGTATATGTTTAATAATGTATATTTGTAATTACTAACTAATGTGAAATATTTGTGCTTATTTATTTTCTTATTATTATATATTATTTAGTATCTTCTGGGATTTCTTTCTTTCCAAGAAACTCTACATATCTGGGTCACAGTGTTAAAAAGTTCAGTATGCATTCTAGGTATTCATATATTACACTGTTATGCATTTATTTATCATGTCTTATAAGTTGCTTATGGCTTATTATATTGTGGTAAAAAGTGCTTTTGGACTCAGGCCTCTTTTGATAGCCTAGCTTCATCTCATTTTGCTCTAAGAACTTGTCAGATGGAATCTGAAGGTCTTGTATCTCTGTTCCCTTGCTGTCAATACATGGAGAAGTTTTTTGGCTTAACAGATTTTAAATGACTCTTGTTGCAAAGATTTTATACATCCATGCCTTCTCCAGGATCACCTCATACTTTCCTTATATGCACAATTTGCACACATGCATTCCATTACAAAATCTGCTTATTTCAGTGACTTTCACATGCCTCCACGTTTTGCCTAATATTTCAGAATCACCTCTATGATTAAAAATGATATACCTAATATTCAAATTATAGTTTTTTACAAATATTTTTATAGTTACCAAGTGTTAATAATAAATGTATTTTTGTATATTTATAGACAAGTATATGAATGTATACAATAAAATCTATTTTTCTGAATTATTGGTCTGCTTTCAAAACTAAATTACAATTCTCATTTCATTCCATTTGTCTCGACAGATTTCACTGAGACAACGCGAGACAAATTCATTGAGATCAAAATACATTTATATTTTGATGTGTTATAGAATTCTGATATTGGGTTGGCAACTGAGTAATTGCGGATTTTTTTTTAGAAAATCAAAGACAATTTTTTCATGGAACTAAATAACTTTATTCTGTAATGTATTGCCCATTTTGATCAATGACCTTTTGCCATCTTTCAGGCAGCATCATAATCCCACATTCATAAAACTTTTGGTTTTTATTAGCAAAAAATTGAATCAGGTACGATTTGACATCATCATCATTATTGAAATTTTTACCATTCAAGGAGTTTTGTAAAGATCGAAACAAAAAGTAATCAGATGGTGCAAGGTCAGGACTATATGGTGGATGTGGCAAAACATCCCAACCAAGCTCCAATAATTTTTGCCGAGTGACCAAAGATGTGTGTGTGGCCTTGCATTGTCATGATGGAATACAATACAACACCTTTTCGATTTGTCAATTCGGGCCGCTTTTCTTCAACTGCATTGTTTAATTTCGTTAGTTGTTCAATGTAGACATCAGAATTGATCGTTTGGTTGGGTGATAAGAGTTCAAAGTAGACAATTCCTTTGTAATCCCACCAAACTGATAACAAAACCTTCTTTTGATGAATATCAGCTTTTGATGTTGTTTGAGTTGGTTCAATTGACCTGCTCCACGATCTTTTCCGCTTGATATTGTTGTAAACAACCCATTTTTCATCGCCAGTTATCAGTCGTTTTAAAAATGGATCATTTTCATTACGTTTCTTTAGCAAATCGCAGCTGTTAATGCGTTGCGTTAAATGCGTTTCTTTCAGTTCGTGAGGAACCCATGTATCGAGTTTTTGAACATAGCCAAGTTGTTTTAAGTGATTTTCAATGCATGTATGTGATACATGAAGCTTCTCTGCAATCTCACGTGTTGTACTGTGACGATCCAAATCGATTATTGCTTTGATTAGGTCGTCATCAACTTCAACTGGACGACCAGAGTGTTTTTCATCTTTGAGTGAAAAATCACCAGAATGAAATTTGGCAAACCAGTTTTGACACTGCCATTCTATTAAGGCTTCATCACCATAAACAGCACATAACTTTTTATGAGCTTGCGATGCCTTTTTCTCTTTGCGAAAATAAAAAAGCAAAATATGATGAAAATGTTCCTTTTGATTTTCCATTTTTCAACGAACGCCAAATGAAAACTACGCAACTGATCAAAAAACGTTTTTACTGATTGACAGCTGAATTGCCAACTATCAAATAACAAAATGTGTTTTACATTTGTACTACGTCAGCAACCCTAAAAATTCAACTGAAGCCATCTATGAGTGAAATTCGCAATTACTTAGTTGCCAACCCAATAGTTTATATTTAAATAGCAATATGATACCCTCTTCCAACAACAGCAACAAAAAAGGGTTTGCATTGTATCTATGGTAAAATATTATAGCTCTTATAATACATGCAACACAAAATATGTAATCTTATAATACCTGTTTTTTTTTCACTTGCTTATGAAGAACAAATTAATGCTTGTGTCATAACTTTTTAATTTAGTTAAAAAAGTGTGCTTACATTGTCATGACAGAATTCTTAGAGTCTTCTCTGTTGATAGTACATTCTGTTCTGTGCTTAAAGCCCAGTTAAAATGAGTACTGTGTGGAAACGACTCCAGAGAGTCAATAAACGGGCTGCTAAATTCCAGTTCATTGCCTCATATCAAGAGCTTGTTGTAGAAAGTACTTTAAAATGGTAATATTTTTATTTTGTATTTGCTATTAAAAATTTTTTAAATACTTATATGATAATTACATGTATGATCTATAATATGTTATAAAATGTTTAATTTTTTTATTTGCAGTTGTTACATTTTTGCAAATTGATTTGATTTTGTTAATATTCTTACACATGCTTGAAAATACACGCATTTCAATCTTTTTGAAAGCAGTGTCTGTAAAATCTTTCATAAGCCAAAATGACATAAAACAAAGAAACAGTTACCATTAATTTACCTGAAGGAAAGCATTGTAATGAAGTTTTAAAGAACTCTCACCATTTTTGAATGAACAACCAACTTTATTAGTCAAAACTTGCAGATAAAAACATTTTTTCAGCGTGCGCATTGTCTGCGGATAATCGTCTGTGGTAATTTACATTTCTTAGTGGAATTATGTTGGTAGCATAGCAACGCAATTACGTTACAGTCTTAAATTCCTTCCCTCACGGGGAACTTTTCGAAGAAAAGTTTCTTTCTTTCAAATTGATGGAACTTTCAAGAAAATTTTCAGTTTAAATACATTAAATTTTTTAAGAAATTTTAAATTAATTTTTTTTTTTCATTTTTGAATGAACAACCAACTTTATTAGTCAAAACTTACAGAATAATTGAAAAACATTTTTAAGCGGATATTTTTTGCGGATAGTCGTCTGCAATAATTTACATTTCTTAGTGGAATTGTGTTGTTAGTGTAGCAATGCAATTACGTTACAGCATTAAGTGTTCCAGGTTTCCAAAAAATTTGTTATATCATATTTAAGATCTAAAACCTAAAATTAAATTAAAAAAGTAACAGTGTGGCAAATGTACACACTATTGAGCTGGGAATAATATAAGTACAATGTAGTTTCATTTTCCAAATCCGAAAAGAGAGTGGGGATATTAACAGTGTAATGATGGTAGTGATGACTATAATGCATTTTAAGTCTTTAAATTCAGTAGTAAAAGATAGAGAGCCTATGATGTACAAGAGGAGGAAAACAACTTAGCTATTTGTATCTGTCAATGTTTATCATATGAATGTGTCTCCAGTTTCTCTGTGCATGTGTCTCTGCATGTGTCAAAGGTTACTTTATTGTTCTCTGGCTTTGTGAAAGATTAAAGTAAGTTAGTACAGTTAAAAGTCGTTAATCCAGACACCCATAATCCGGAATGATCTATAATCTGGACCTCAAAGCTACAAACTTTCTGTGCATGCATCAATGCATAATTCATTAATGCATGCACGTAGGCATTTACGTGTGCGCGTAATTACCTTTACACATGCGCCTTTAATGTATAACGGACGGTATAAGCTGAGCTAAAATTATCTAATTATCTTTTCAGTTAATGTTGCAGATTGCGTTGTTCCTTAATCTTCAAATGGGATCCGGCTTATTATTTTTTGCAGACTGTTAGAGCAATTTTATAAAAGTAAGCTTGAACTTTTGCTTATGCCAAATAGAATTTCTGATGCTTGAGCTGCAAAAGGATCTGCAAAGCAAAAGCATGTTTCGATGTCCATTAAACAAAAAGTGGAAACTGCTGCAAAAAATGTATAAAGACATGAAGAAAGTGACAGAGAGGTGATTTGTTTCTCTAACCATTCCGATATCTGTTTATCAATTTCACGCTGCTGTGCGGAAGCATACCACTCGCAACATGCAATGAACTGGAAGTTGATCTGTCAGCACTATCCTCATCTTCAGGGCAGATGTTTTTATTTTATTCGGCTTATAATTTTTCACTAAATGTAATGTTTCATCTCGATGTACTTTGTCCTTAATATGATTTAAATCAAATTCCTCGTCATTATAAATATCACGAATACACATCAAATAGTTTTCTGATTGCAATTTTCTAATTTCGACTATGCGCAATTTATGCTTTACGCATGCGCTCGTTGAAAGAAATGTTTAATAAAGTAAACAAATAAATATTAAGCTTTCTTTTGTAACTTTTGATACCCTTTAGATCATTATTACTCTATATTTCATAAATTACGGTTTCTTATTTTTAATTTTATAATTTCTGCATGCCATCTTACCAGATTTAAATTGATGGTCTATAATCCAGAATCGCCGAAGTCCCGACGAGTCCAGATTAAAGACTTTTGACTGTATAAAACAGACAAATCTTTACTTCAATAGGTTTTTCAGTTTCAGTTGCTATAAAACAGCTTACAAAATTGCTATATAAGTAAATATATATATATATATATATGTAAGATAAAAAATATGAAAGCAAACTTCTAAACTTAATTCACTATAACTTCCATTATTTCTATTTCATTTGAGAACTTCCTCTATCTGTCCTAAAAATAGCGCTTAAGTCTAAACTGCGTCATTCAAATTAATCATGCGATCTTCTAACTTACTTAACCCATAATGCAGATCCCTCTCGACCAATCACCAAATTGCAAACTGAAACTTTTCTCTTCGCGTGCTTCCATCTTTCATAACTACGCACTTCAGCTTTTGCTCTCTACCGTGCTAAAATGTAATTTCGCTGGCTTGCTTTCTATCCCTACAATATCAAAAATGTAAATCTTCTGTGGAAAGGCACGACTAGAGTGCCAAGTGATTGTGGCCACAAATATCAATTGGAAATAAAAAAAATTAAAACTGCCTCGACGACTGCCAAGTTTTTTAAATACTACGCAATCAAAATTCTTCTTCTTCAATATGGATCTAAGCACGCATCGACACTGCTCCGGCTTTTCCTTGTTTTGCTTTTATTATGACATATATATATTTGAATTTAACAAATATTCTCTCATTCATATAAAGCTAATTTAAATTTTGAAATATATATATTATATTGTAAGTAAAATCATTATTTTTCTGCTATTGCTTCATTAAAAAGTACTGATAAATTCATTCAAACAAGTACCAAATATAACTTTGCTTGTGTCCTTTATTCATAAAAAGCAAAGATCATCTGATTTCTTTCATGAACTGAAATTTAGGTGTTTGACAGAAGGGTACTTTCATACAGCAAACATTCCTAAAACAGAATAACTATACAAGATGATTTGCTACCGATGTAACAAACATGAGAAATGTAGAGGGAGTAAAGATTATTTGGAAACACATAGCATTGCAGAGTCTGAAATAACTTCTACCTGAGCTACGGTTAAGGGAAGCAAAGAAAACGAGCAGAAACAGCAACATGTTAGTGTAACAGAATTCACTTTATTACAAGTTTTACATTGGCAAAAAGCTACGTGCTACTGGAGGTGTCAAAAATGACATCCAGAAGCAATCACACAGGCTTCACAGCAGCACCGCATGGAATTCCTAATGTTCTGAAAGAGTACTGGTGTGTCTTGTATCTCCCAAGCAGCTAGAGAGATGTAAGTGATGAGGTCTTAACTGAATCAATGGGGGTCTTGTACACCAGTGCCTTCATTTGACCCCAGAAGTCCAGGCATGATAGGTCTGGCAATCTAGCAGGCCAATAAACTGGAACACCATAACCTGTCTAATGCTGTCCAAATGTAACATTTAGGTATCAGCCGGACGTGATTGTAATAGTGTGGGGGAGCCGCATGGTGCTGGAACCACACTGAACAATGCAACAACTGAGGAACATGTTCTTCGATAAATTCAGGCGGGACTTCATGTAGGAAGTATGTTCATAAGTATGCCCTACTATCCAGATGAGGAGGCAGAATGTATGGTCCTAGGAGGTGGTCTCCAACAATGCTGGCTTAAACAGTGACTGAGAAATGGCCTTGATCTTGCTGCATGTATTCGTGTACCATGGGTATTATCCAAAGCCCACAAATGGGCATTATGTTGATTGAAGGCTCTCTCTGTTGTGAAAAATGCCTCATCTATGCACAATATGAAGGCAGCAAATGTGCTGTCTGCCACACGCTGTGTAGCAAAATTCCTCCAGATTGTATAAATATGCAGGCTCCAGTGGTTTGATGCGTTCCTCATGGTACGAATGCATTAGGTTTCCTGACAGTATACTAAATCCAATCATTGGGCTATTGCTCGAGTACTCATAACTCGGACTGCCTTCTGCCATACTGGACATTCTCCTAATTGTCTATTATCCTCATAGTTTGCTCTCAATTTGTGGTAGGGCTCATTAAACAACTAGTCTCACATAACCTTCTGTGCAGACATCCAAAGATCGTGTGATGAGGACCATGCCTATGCAGGAAATGTTCCTGCTGCAAAGACAGAGCAGTGCGCTGGTTATTGTCTGCAGCTTCGTAATGTGAGGTGCATGTCAGCCAGTTCAGCATTTGAGTACTCGCCCATCCTACCTCATGAATGGGTTCGCATATTCTGATTTCCAACATGATTGCCATTCACGTGACCTCCCATTCAACATCCTATACTGCATGACGAATGCATTTCTGACCCTGCAGTGCTATGTGATTCCGAATCATCCTTGTGCCCCCTACATCTCCTAAAAGTTTGTCACATCAGTAGCAAATCACGCTGTATAGTAATGATTAATTTCTTCTGGTGTGATTATATATATCATAATTTTAAAAAGAATAATTACTATATTTCTATAGTAATAGCTACAAAATACATTGAAAGTTTGTTTAGTGTAAATGCATGATATGCTAACAGTTTACAGAACTAGAAAAGTGCAGATTTGTATCCTGCAGTCAACTCCAGATGTATTGGGGGTTGATTATCCAGGTTGTGGATAACCTGGGCCTCTAAAATAATAATAATAATAAATTGTGCGTAGAAAAGTAGAAAAATTGCTGTTATAAACCATTCCAATGATCAAGGTCACAAACCATCACATAACTCAGTTCTCTTGTTGATATTCTTCAGTGCTATTTGTAACTTTCTTCCTTTCTAATTATGTTAATTCTTCTGTTATTTACTATATGTTTTTTTTTTTTTGTTGTTTTTGAATATTTGTTTAATTTGTATAACCAAATGAAATCGATTAAACAGCTTGAAAATATCTGTATTATGTTAATGTTATTTTTTATTAATTAGTATAAGGGTGATTCATTTTCTTCAGTGTTTATCTAACTGCCTTCAGATTAATCGTGATTGTGATTTAGCTGGATGGTAGTACCCCACTGAATTGAGAGTTGACTGTAGTTTAATATTTTATTTTTCTTCATGTAGAAATGTCTAGTTTGCTGACAGACACCATGTTAATTATAAGAAAATTAAAAGTATTTTTAGTTAAGTATTTCTGAGATATTATTTCATTATTTCAGGCAGCCACACAAACTCTGCGTCGTTTGGACTAGGCGAAGTCGAAGAGTTGTAACTGAGGTATACTTATTATCTTATATTGTAAGACTTAAGTTTCCTGTTTTCCCTTCAAACGTTTGATTGACATTTATTTGACATTTTATGTATGTGAAGTAAAATACAGTCAGTCTTTAATCCGGACGTCCATAATCCGGAATGATCTGTAATCTGGACCTCAAAGCTGCAAACTTTCTGCGCATGCGTAAACGCATAATGCGTTTATGCATGCACGTAATACATTTACACAGGCGCGTTTAATGTATAATGGACGGTATAAGCCAAGCTAAAATTATTTATTTCAGTCAATGTTGCAGATTGCGTTGTTCCTTAATCTTTTAACTGGATCCAGCTTATTATTTGTTGCAGACTGTTAGAGCAATTTTATAAAAGTAAGCTTGAACTTTCAATTATGTCAAAAAGAAATTCTGATTCTGGAGCTGCCAAAGGATCTACAAAGCGAAAGCATGTTTCAAGTCCGTCAAATAAAAAGTGGAATTGCTGCAAAAAATGGATAAAGGCATATCCTTTGTTTCTCTAACCATTCCCAAAATCTGTTTATCAATTTCACGCTGCTCTGCGGGAGGGGCGGAAATGTCGCGGCGTGCAATGAACTTGAAGTTGATCTGTCAGCAGTATCCTTATCTTCAGGGCAGATGTTTTTATTTTATTCGGCTTATAATTCCTTACTAAATGTAGTATTTCATCTCGATGTACTCCGTCTTTGATATGATTTAAATCAAATTCCTCATCATTTTAAATATCACAAATACAAATCAAATAGTTTTCTGGTTGCAATTTTCTAATTTCGTCTATGCGTAAAGTATGCTTTACGCATGCGCGCGTTGAAAGAAATGTTTAATAAAGTAAACAAATAAATATAAAGCTTTTTTTTGTAAATTTTGATACCTTTTAGATCATAATTGCTCTTTCTTTCATAAATTACAGTTTCATATTTTTAATTTTATAATTTCCGCATGTCATCTTATCTGATTTAAATTGATAATGTATAATCCGGAATCGCCGAAGTCCCGACGAGTCTGGATTAAAGACTTTTGACTGTATGTCATTTTCCATGTATGTAAAATATATCATTATCATGTATGAATGCATAGTTCAGCCTCTTATCATGAATGCTTTTGACCATGGATTCACGAAGAAATTATCTGAATGAAAAGTATCTTGGTTGACAAATGATGCCTGATGACAAATGATGAATTATGAAACTTCAGGTTAGTAACAGATACTTTCAAAGGCATTTTGAGGTGACATCTGACACTCAGGAACTAAGCAGCTTTCAGCAACTTCTACAATCATCATTTTAATATTTCCTGTTGCTTAATTTCTATTAACAAAGGCTAGCAGTAAGTGAATTTGGCCTGGTGAAAATTATGGCCAGATCTGTTGCAGGAAAATGTTTCGAGGGTTTTGACACTGAGGATGTTTTTTGTTAAATATAATATTATATATTTAGACAAAACCAAATGCTTGGAAGTTAAACATCTGGAAGAGGACTAGAGGACCATAAAAATGCATTAACAAGAAATAACTTGAATAACTTAAGAAGTGGAAATGAAAGGCTATGAAGTGTCTTCAAATGAAGAGAGAGAAGCAAAGAGAAGTTAAACTCAGATACTTGACCTAAACAATATGTGCAGTTGCATATAACGCTACAATTTTGAAAAAGCAGGAGCCAGCTAGAGCATAAAGTGTTTTAATACCTGTGCCTTGCCTGACTTTGGAAACATTTTAAAACTTATGCAACAACAAATCACACTGAAAAATTTTTGAGCGAATCAGAGGCTTGGTGAGTCTCAAGTAGAGTAGTGCTAAGAGGCGAAGAAAAGGTGCCTCAGAAAGACAGTTATCTGATATTTTTAATGAGTAATGTCATCATTTTCCACTTATGCCGTCACTATCCTTCATACAGATGGTTTAAAATTAAATAAAATTTTCGCATATTTTATCTGTTTAATATTGTGTTTGCCTTTTTGCCTTAGACTGCATGATTTCCTTTTTTTTTTATTATGTACTTGTGCATAAACTACTATTGTTGTAAATATTAAATTAGCAATCATCTGTGGCCCAGGAGTGAATTAATCCATTTTATCGTATGGAGAAAATAGTTTCAGTTTGTGAACATTTTTAATGGGTTTCGGAAGCAGATTAAGTTTGTGATCTGAGGTTTCACTGTAATTAAAATGAGAAAAATATTTACGTAGTAAAAGAGGAGGGAAACAATGAATGATACATACAATAAGTTGCCAGATAAAATTTAGTAATGTTACAAAGAAGTTAGCTGTAAATGAGTTTCTAATGAGAATCCAATATTATTAAATGAGAAGTAAATGCTGAAAAACAGTTTAGCAAAATATTCTAAGCAGTAATATAATAAAGAGATAAAAGAAAAATATGTATGTGCCATTTCATCTATCAAAAACATAAACTTGCTTCCTGTGTACTGGCTCAGATAAGATTACATTTTCATATATTTCATAAATAGTTCAACCTTCTATTAGAAGATGCTCACAAGACACTTTTTTTTTTCTGTTTTGAGGGAGTGTCTGCTAAATTTGAGTGCACTGATTTCCTATTTTGAAAGTTTGGGAATTCAAGAACTGTGTTTTATGGGTAATGTCTTCTCAAGTGGAGCATCTGTTAATGGAGGTTCAGTAGCATTTTTTTTTTCTTTCTTTAATTAAGCTTTCCTGTTCATGCTGTTTAGCTCAAATCATACGAGATGAATATTTTAAAGTAATAATCTAAATTTCTGATGCATTGTGATGATAGAAGGGACATTTTAGAAAGGCTTTGAATTAGTATGAAAAACGTTGAAACACTGAGGCATACATGTAAAACCACCAAGCTCTTCTGACATTCATATCATGTAGCACTTCTTTTATTCTGTGTTTTACATGCTGCTATCATAAAAAAGTGTCATCTTCTTTAGAAAAGCAAGTGTAAATTTTATAAAATGTACTTCTAAAAATAATGAAATTTTTTAAAATTTTGATTACCAGAATATATCAGTGAAATATACAGGTTATTATCATTGAACAAACATTTTCTTCAACAGCAGCAGCAACAACAACAAACAAACAAAAAAAAAAAACTTGATGAATATATATTTCCATCATTTGAAAAAATGCTCAACTTAGTAAGAAACTACTACAGTACAAAGTCTGTAATCTGGACGTCCATTATCCGGAATGATCTATAATCCGGATCTCAAAGCCACAAACTTTTTTTTGTATGCTTTATGCATGTGCGTTTAGCACAAAAAACGAAGCAACTTAAACAACTTACATTGAAAGAAATGTTTAATAAAGTAAACAAATAAATATTAAGTTTTTTTTTTGTAAATTTTGATACTCTTTAGATCATAATTGTTCTTTATTGCATAAATTACGGTTTCATATTTTTAATCGTATAATTTCTACATGCCATCTTATCAAATTTAAATTGATGATCTATAATCTGGAAAAACCCTTAATCTGAAATCACTGAAGTCCCGACGAGTCCGGATTACAGACTTTGTACTGTATTATGTTCAGGTCCCTTGGCAGGCAGCTGTGCATGACTGTGATTTAAATAAAACTTAAAAAATATTAGAAACTTAGGTTATTTTTGATAAGCTGTTTAATTCTTTTGATTGTAGTCTAAGTGCAACCAGTACTTATAAAGTTATCAGCTTTCATTCTTAGTAAATGTAAGTTATATAATTTTTGGAAATTCTATCTAATTTGGATAAAATTTAGCATTTCAAACTTTTTTCTATTAAAAATTATGGAAAATTTTGAGATTAAGTCAAATTTTATCTTTACCACTTGCCTAGTTATTCTGAGTTAGTTGTCTAGTTAGTGAGTTAATTGTGAGTTATGTTGTCTAGTTAGTGAGTTATGTTATTGCCTGTTAGTGAGTTAGTCATGGAGAATTTGTCAAAAGTAATTATCATGAGTTAACTCATTGTTCATGGTTCATGACAGTTTTTTTAAAATTTATTCTGAATAAACTTGCAATGTATTTTATGGCTATGCTGGTGACCTTTATGACGTTTTATTATGAGAAGACTAGAGTTTTATGCCAGGTCTCTTTTGATTCAGCCTTAATTTCCTAATCAGATAATTGTTTACATTTATTTTGCATCATAAAAATACTAAAAAAATATTTAAAAATGTGGAAAATAGTTGTAGATTTTTTTGTATTTTGTTGCACTAATCAAAAGTGCCTAGTTAAAAAAAAAAAAATTTTTTTTTGGCATGGGAACTGAAAAATAAATAATTAATTAAGAGGTTAAGTAGCAAATTGAGTGAATTGGATTTATGGTATTGAAGATGCTAGTGCATGTGTAATATTCTAGCACTTGTTTAGGGTGAATGTGATAGTGGTGAGGATTGGTTCATTTCAGATATAAGTATTAAATGATAAGGAACAAATACTTAGGACTTTCTAAACTAAGCTAAGTGCACTATGGGAATGATAAAGTGGCAACAGTTTAAGCCTTCATTTCTTGTATTAGCCTTTTAAATCCATATTATCAGCTGCTGAATCATTGTTTGCTGTTGTTACATTTACCATAATTTTATTTAAAAGTTTTCTAAATGGTTTTAATAATAAGTGCTAATTACTTTTATTTTAGCCTCTTATATGGAAAAGTACTATTACTAACCCCTTAAGAGGTTCTGTTGTGTGGCCAGTGCCTGAAAATAAAGAAGCAACTATAACTTTATTCAGAGACCCACGAAGCAATGAATTTGAAGATAAGTGCTGGACATTTACAGTTGAAGATGTACGTTTATAAAAAATTCTGTGTAAATATTTTAGTTTTTTTTTATTTCTCATCGAAAAAATTTTTTTTTCTATATGATTTTTATTTACATTAATAGGTTTCTGAATCTGGCAAGCACAGACAGGTAGCCTGTGCAAGTGTAAATATGAAAGAATATGCAAGCTTAACCCCTCAACAAAAAGAAGTAAAAATCAATTTAAAGCCCATGACAAAAAAAGTTGTTGAAGTTGTTTTAAGATTTACACTTTCTTGTAAACTAGTCAAAGAAGGAAAAGCAACGTAAGTAAATTTTGTCTTTGTACATTAATCATCTGAACTATATCATTTAAAAGTAAATTTGCATTTTGAAAGAGGTTCTTTCTGTGAAATGTATACTGAGGAAAATGGCTTATATTTTTATATGAATTATGGTAGGAACTTCTGTCATCCTATTCCAGTCCTATCAGTGAAGCATATGCAGAACTACATAATTTTATCTAATGTATAAATGCATATCTTTTAATTTGGTGGATAGAGAGAATAAATTTTTGGTTAGAGGGGAAATTGGAAGCCTGAATATTTGAATATCTAACAAAGAAAGTGTGCAGTCTAAGACTTGTATCTAGCATAATTATTCAAAATTTTAGAAAATTAGGCCTAAATCTTTAAGAATTGTATCTAGCATAATTATTCAGAATTTTAGAAAATTAGGCCTAAATCTTTAAGAAATATTAATAAACATTCATTAAAACATCATTAAATTTCTAAAGTTTTTTATTAATAGTGATAGCTGTGAGAACAGTTCATAAGTTTTCTAATGAGAAGACTACATTTCAAACCCTACAGGCAAAAGTGTTTTTTTTCCCTTATTGATATGATTAATTATTTTCATTTTATTTTGTTTGAAAGGACAGTTTGGTTTTTCAGAAGTATTTTTAAATTAGCAACGCACACTCGAAAGGAAAAAAAATGATGTAGTTAAAAAATTTGTTAAAAATACATATATATATTTTTTTAAATTGTAATCTCACTTTTACTTAATTTGCTTATAACTGATAAATTATTTTTAACTGAATATTGAAAGTATTATATATCGTTATTGAGAACACTGAATAAATCAGAGCCTTTAAAATTTTTGTTTTTAATGTGTGTGCAATAAATTAAAAAGTACAGCACAATAAAATGCTAATTTATCTAAACTTTTGAAAGCACATGGAAGAAATTATGAATGTTAATGATATATGCTCTTCCTTGAAAATTTAAAGAAAAATTATGGTGGAAACATTTAAATTTTTATAAAATAGTCATGTAATTAATGCGCATCATGACATATTTTTATAATTTTAATGTTTTATGATACATAACATGAATCCATATGCAAACTTGTGGCAAAAATAGTAAATTAAAATAAATGAAATGAATTTACATATTTTTTATTGCATGATTTTGTGTTTTTATTAAAATATTTTTCATGAGTGTGTTTACAAGTAAGATAAAAGAATTATTAATAATGATAAAAAGCATAGCTATTTCCTAGCTGGATTTGATCTGATGGATTTCATCGCATTTGAAGCATTGTCTGTTGCGCTTTAATTCATTGATGCATGCACAAAATTGAGGTCTTGAATAATGTAAATGTTATGTAAAAGGTATTATATATATATTTTTTTTTACTTATTTCCAAAAAGTGCAGGCTTAACATATGCAAAAATATTCATTCTAATCATCTATAATTTTGCAGAGTTTGCCTGAAATTTATGAATCTGAGGTTGTGTGCATGTGTTGAAATTTTCATGCCAAGAGTGTGGAGACGAAACAGTAATAATCTTTAGAAAATGTACTTAAGAAGGCTATTAATATTATTGTTAATATCTGATGCTGTTCATGATGAATGGCATTTCTAAATGAAAAACAGTTACATTTAAAAATTTCTTTATAGTAAATCTCGGAAAATCTTTGAAATCTTAAGTAAATCTCTGTTCTCCTTTTGTGAAGTTTTTAGCAGCCGATACTAATTCATACACTTGACAACATGATAATTATGCATGCATGCATGCCCTCTCTGACCTTAGTTTAATTAACATATTTAGACTCATCAAGTAGGAGTGTTAGCTAGAAAGTTTGTACTTGAGGAGAAAAGTGTGAAGATGCAGGATATTAAAATAAACATTTCATGTCTTTATTTTTCAAGTTACACATACTTTTAATACCTTTCCACTGACTACACAGAACACTTACCCACCCTTTTCTATAAACATAAACATATTTGTGTTATCCATGATCAAGGAAAAACAGGATAAAATATGTAGGCAGTGCAAAATACATTAATGGCTTTTTATTCCCTATTACCACAGATATTATTATCTTATTTAAATTAGAATCTGAGTCCACCACCTTTGATATTAATCTCACACAAGGACATATCATATATTATTTGAAAGACTGTTGATATGTTAACTGCAAGACTCTCAGTATGAATATCAGCTGCATTGTATTACAAAGTTTATAAAGTGATGAAATTTAGTAGTGGGCTCCAGGTCCATGTGTTTTGATTCACTATTTAGAAAAATGGATGATTTGACTGATTGAAGAAAAGAATATGATGAAGGAATATCTGAAATTATCAAACAGATTTATCAGTCATTGCATTCTTGGTGGCCTTTTTTTTTTCATTTTTTTGCCCCTTAATCTGTCTGTATGTCAAACAGTTTTTGTTAAACTTACTTTTAGAAACTGGTATTAGAAACACATCCCAGCTTCCAAAAAAGAAGCAACTGTAGCAGAGTATATTAGAAAATTATTGATCATTAATATATGCATAAGATATGCATCAAGGTATGGACATTGTTTAGAAATGTTTTATTGTGAGCATCTCAAATGCGAATGGATAGAACTGTAACTGATTTTTTTGTGGCTAAGGATGATTTCCAATCAAGATTGTAAAAATGGTAAAACCAATATATTGTCAGAAGGTGAGTGATTGGGAAAGGAAACTTACATATACTTGGTAAACAATATTGTTGCATGCATATGGGTTTGTAATAGATTGATTACACAAGTGTGATAAAAAGTTAATAAAATTAATTCTTATCACAGAAATAAAACAAAATGCATAAATGTTTCCTCACAGATATCCGTACAATATAGCACAGTAGTTATATTTTGAATTACTAAAACATTAAATAGAACACAATTCAAAGTGGAGAGAAAGCTAATCTGATCTCAAAATTACAACAGCTAAGTAAACAACTGAACTGAGATGTTTTTCTTCGGCTTTTTATAGCTTTCTAATCTTGCACAAGAACATTCTTGTAATTTTTTTTGTTGAGGTTTCTGGAAAGCAAAAGAGTAGATTTACAGTTACAGCTAACACACAATTACATTTATTCAATTTAAATGTAAATTATGAGATATCTATTTATTAAATGTGTGTGCTCCTTATTTTTACTTTTCCGACGTAGCTTTCCCTTAAAACTCATCATGTGCTGCATTGCATGGGGAAATAAAACAATTTTAATTACATTTCTACTAAAAATAGAGACTAAATACAAAATCTGTAACACTGCTCCCTTCCCAAGGACTGTTTGTCCTGGGCAGTATAATCCCTGGACAGGAAGCCGAAGTTACAACTAAGGCATCAATGCAATAATATACATTACTATAACAAACAACATAAACAATAATTGCAATATGTAATGTAAAAGAAATCAAATACTACCAAATACTAAATTCAAATCAAATACAAATTTAGAAACAAAAAGGACCATGGTCTTATACTATTTACATTATATATTCTACGTACTATGGCAATAGTAAGGAGCTAACCTGTCATAATGAATGACTTTAGACTTACAGTTCGATGACTAAAGTTGAATAAAGGACATTGAAAGGGACAATTCTCAGAACCCGCACATTTCCAGAAAACCTACGTAGCTAGGTTACCATTTTCACTTATTGCAAAGACCTGAATGTCAAACAGTGATCGATTATCACTCAGATTGGGATCGCGGGATCCTTCAGAAGCAGAAATTTTGATTGGTTTATCTCTACTCAAGACAGAGGTTCAGCCAAGACATTTTGAGTGAGGTTTAGAAAAAATCTTGCATAGCTGCAACATCATTTCCATAGCTAGGCGGGACTTCACTTCCAGCAGTTCTCTTTTTTTCTAGGAATCCTCCTGTTTAAACCAGTGCTACCGGAATCTCGTTTTTCAAAAAAGTTCCATTTAGCAGGGACTGTCATTAAACGTGATGACCTCTTTACAAATCCGAACCACGACGTCGTTCAGCCTGTTTAGGACTGTGTAGGACCATACCAAGGTGAGTGTAGTTTTGGATAGAGTCCTTTCTGTCGAGTTGGATTCCATAATCACGTATTATCTCCTTTGTTCAATCGATGTCTGGTAGCTGTGGTGTCATATTGGGTCTTCATCTTTTCTGTCACCAAGTTTCTCATGCAAAACTGTGTGTCACTTCAAACTGAGCCTGGAGATCTTCGATGTATTCCTCAGGCGATGAAGGTGCTTTTTGCGCATCATCCTTTGCATTATTCGAGTAGAAATGCTCACAAACTCTCTGCAAGGTCTTCTTTATTCCGAAAAGACTTCCTGTAGGGCTGCTATATCATTCTTTAAGGACATCCAGTATCTTTGAAGTATCAGTTGCCATCGGAAAGTCTTTCCATCACCCGATGTGAATTTCCAGTACAAAACGCTGTTTCGAATATGGAGCAAGTCCCACAGTGCCCAACAGTGTTTTGTTATAGGACTATAGATCCAAATGTCCTTCCAGGTAGGTTTTTCTGTTTGAAGACTCCATAAATTCAATTATGGGTTTAATGTCACCGTCTTCCAGCTGGTCTTTCCTGACTTCTTTGTCACTCCATGGTTCTTGATCAGCCAATGTCGATGTTGTAATTTGTTGTGCAAATAGACTCAGCAGCTCGTATTTCACTTCGACGCTGGAACAATATCAGTAGCTTGCTGGGCAAGGTCTTCTAGACAAGGCTTTGATGTTTCTGTGTAATGATCCCTTCTGATGATGGATAGTTATGTCATATTCCTGGAGTCTCTGTATCCACCAGGCTATTTGACCCTCAGGATTCTTGAAATTTCAAAGCCAGGCCAATGATGCATAATCCAGGAATTTTCTGCCGTATAGATAATGGATAATGATGGAAATGTTCTACGGCTTTCACTATGGCGAGTAAATCTTTCCTGGTGACACAGTAATTCCTCTCCAGTTTAGACATTGCTCACATCCATGTCGAGAATAAATGGTATGTTGAGCTGAGGATACGTC